ATACTCTTGAGTCTTTACTTGGTAAGCCTTTTATTATAATATTTTCTTGACTACAGGCTCTAACAGTAGCAATAATACAACAAAATGTCTCAATCCTGCTTTTGTTCATGCTATAGCGATTACAGATGTAAATATTGTCGACAATGTAGTAAAGATATTTGCAGTATCTAGGGGCGTTGGTGTTTTCGATGTGATAGACATTGAATTAGAACTTGATGCTGATATTAGGTCAAAAAGTTTGGTAAAGGTTGACTGTTCTGTAAGTCTCCGTAGCTCCGCATATTTCCTTTTATGTACCTTTTGGTATATCAATTCTAATTGCAAGTTCTCTTTGCTGGAGGACTAGAGTAAAGAACAAGGAGTCTCCTCTCATCCATCTCCAGTGAATGAGTCCTATCTCAGTGAAGGAAAACCCAGGTATCAGAGATTTCCTTTCTCTTCTTCTTCACTTATGTACTTCACTGAATGTGACCAATTTTTAGCCACTTTGTGTTTAAAAGAGGTATAGTGGCTCGATCGGGTGCGACTTGGGAGTGGTCTCTCGCTGAGTTTTTTTTCAACCTCAAAGCCATGGCTCTTGGGCCCCAGTAGAATAGACTGGGAATGTTAAAACCGCTATGTTTATTTCTTGAGATTCTCGGTTAAGGATTGTTGTTGGGGTTTATGTATTGCTTGATTTTTGTTATGTCACAACTTATCACCGACAAGTTCAGAATCGATGAGTCTCTTGACCACTGTCAACGCTATCACTGGTTAGCTTTTGTGTCAATCATATTCGCCTGCCATCGTATCCTGAAATCAGGTTTGCCTTCGTCTTAGTGGTTGCTGATGTTTTGTTATATTTCAACCACCTAGAAGACTGTTGATAGGCTCTTGAACAAGGGTCGGAGAGGTGGATAAGACTTTCTTTTAATACATATGCAAACCTGTATGCTACTTAGTCTCCATTTGATTTCCCTGGAAGCAGTGAGATTTTTTGTTTTGTGAAATATGCTTTTACGTACAAACTTATGGTCCTTACGTTGATATTTTATAATTGGATTGGGATTTTGTAGGGCATGGATCGATGGAGGGGCCGTGACATGAACTTTATGAATGGTTAGAAAGAAGAAGATTCTGCTGAGTACCTAGGGTAATCTCTTCTTCTTGGTCTATGCAGCTTAGTATCATCCTTGACCAACCAATTAACGACTGGGAATATGGTTTAGTGGCAAGGGATATTAATGGAGATTTCTTCCTATAGAGTTTATAGCAACTTATGAGTTTTCTTATTGCAATAATTTGGGTTAAGTGGTTAACTGACTACTCTTTCATGTTTATAGCAGTCAATTTGGTAACCGTGCAAGTGTACTTGGGGGTAGGAACTACCAGTGCCGTTGAAGGACAAGTATGGATGCATCAGCTTGGGCTTGGTTGCTATTATGTGCTTCCATTATCTCACAAAGAGAGCTGTTAGCTTGTTTTCTCTTCTGTTGGTCTAGTTCTATTCAATCGCACGATAGTTGCCTTCAACGGTACTAGCTGTCTTTAAAGTAATGCTTAAAATTTTTTCGGTATAGTTCTTATGATCATACTTGATAATTCCATATATGGTTTGCTGCAAAGTCCAAAATTTGCAGACCTAAATTATTCAACACTGCAAAATTAAGAAGGAAGCTTGGAGTTTATGAAGGTCTTGGTGCCATCTCTTGACTTATGATGGTGGCAGTTTCATTGAAGTTGCTGTTGTCATTTGTTAAATGCTTGGGGCAAAGAGATGTTGAAAATGAAGGCGTTGTGAAAGTTGAAGCAAACGATCCAAGCACAACATGTAATGCTTATGTTCAGCTTGAAAGAACATTATGTCTCAACTTGTCATGTTTGTTTTCTCGAAGTTAGTATCTAGTCACGTTGAATGGATCTATGTAATGCTGGTGTTTAGCTTTAGAGAACATTATGAATAATCTTTTTCATAAGTTTGAAGTTTTGGGAAACAGTCCATTATGTTTGAAACACCATTATAATAAGAACTGGAAATTTGACACCTCATACTGGTAATCTCACGACCGTAAAATACACCAGTGAGATGTAAAAAGCAGTGCTTCATTCCTTTGGCAAATCTCACGGCCGTGAGATGTCCCGTGAGATGCAAAGAGCAGTTCTTACTATCCGAGGAAATTTCACAACTACTACTTGACATTCTCACACCCGTCAAAATCTCACGTGAAATTGAAACATATAACTGTCACTCAAACGTTCTCACAACTCATTCTAGCAAAATAACAGCCGTGGAATTAAGATGTACATACACTTTCTAGAGTTGTACCTTTACACTAAACTTAAAGTTGTACCTACACTCTCCTAAAAATCTTCTATGGTACCAATGCAGTCAAAAGCGCGATTCTACCTAGAAGCGGATTAGGGGTAAAATCGTAAAGCGTAGAATCAAAGCGTAAAAGCGTAAGTTTTTTATGCGTGCTTAAAACAACTAAAAAGTTGTTAAGTATGACATAGACTATGTAAAAATATGAGTGCTAGGAATTTAGATAAGTTAATAAATACCTTCAATTTATGTCTAAAGTATACCAACTTATAGCATCTTAACAATAAGTTCATAAACATAAATAATCTTAATAATAAGCAACATTCCCCTCTATACTAGAATTTGAGAATGACCTAGTTGGTGAATTAGTTTATTGTATTGAAGATGAGAATGCATCCAAGTACCTGGTATGTATCTTTTAATCTCAAATGTATCATATTGTTGGTGATTTACCTTTAAAATATACTTTTTGTAATTAATTTCTTGAAAAGAATACCTATTTAGTGAACTAAAAGCGTAAAAGCGTAAAGCGTTATGGTGAACTAGAAGCGTAAAAGCGTAAGATTTTAAGTTTTAAAACGTAATTTTGTCCGATTTTATGCACTAACGATTTTATATAGAAACGAAAGCGTTTTGGTGACCTAAAAGCGTAAAATCGTAAGTTTTTAAGTTTTAAAACGCGATTTTGACTGCATTGTATGGTACAATTCACAATTGTACGTATACACTATGGTACAACTTAATGTTGTACCTACACTATCTAACAAATCCCTCTATGGTACAACTCAAAATTGTACCTATTCTTGTGGTACAACACAAAATTGTACCTATTCTTGTGGTACAACCTTATGTTGTACCTATACTTTCTAAAAATCCTTCTATGGTACAACCCAAACTTGTACCTATACCATGGTACAACTTTAAGTTGTACCTACACTTTCTAACAAATCTCTTTATGGTACAACAAAAAATTGTACATATACTAATGGTACAACCTTAAGTTGTACCTACACTTTCTCAAAATTCTTTTATGGTACAACCCAAACTTGTACCTATACCATGGTACAACTTTAAGTTGTACCTACACTTTCTAACAAATCTCTTTATGGTACAACTAAAAATTGTACCTATACTAATGGTACAACCTTAAGTTGTACCTACACTTTCTCAAAATTCTTTTATGGTACAACCCAAACTTGTACCTATACCATGGTACAACTTTAAGTTGTACCTACACTTTCTAACAAATCCCTCTATGGTACAACTCAAAATTGTACCTATACTAATGGTACAACTGTTAGTTGTACCTACACTTTCTAATAAATCTCTTTATGGTACAACTCAAAATTGTACCTATACTAATGGTACAACTGTTAGTTGTACCTACACTTTTTCAAAATCCTTCTATGGTACAACCCAAACTTGTACCTATACCATGGTACAACTTTATGTTGTACCTACACTTTCTAACAAATCCTTTTAAGGTACAACTAAAAATTGTACCTATACTAATGGTACAACCTTAAGTTGTACCTACACTTTCTAACAAATCCCTTTATGGTACAACTAAAAATTGTACCTATACTAATGGTACAACCTTAAGTTGTACCTACACTTTTTCAAAATCCTTCTATGGTACAACCCAAACTTGTACCTATAACATGGTACAATTTTAAGTTGTACCTACACTTTCTAATAAATCCTTCTATGGTACAACTCAAAATTGTACCTATACTAATGGTACAACTTCAAGTTGTACCTACACTTTCTAATAAATCTCTTTATGGTACAACTCAAAATTGTACCTATACTAATAGTACAACTTTTAGTTGTACCTACACTTTTTCAAAATCCTTCTATGGTACAACCCAAACTTGTACCTATACCATGGTACAACTTTAAGTTGTACCAACACTTTCTAAAAATCCTTCTATGGTACAACCCAAAATTGTACTTATACCATGGTACAACTTTAAGTTGTACCTACACTTTCTAACAAATCCCTTATGGTACAACTAAAAATTGTACCTATACTAATGGTACAACCTTAAGTTGTACCTACACTTTCTCAAAATTCTTTTATGGTACAACCCAAACTTGTACCTATAACATGGTACAATTTTAAGTTGTACCTACACTTTCTAATAAATCCCTTGATGGTACAACTCAAAATTGTACCTATACTAATGGTACAACTTTAAGTTGTACCTACACTTTGTGAAACAAATTCTTCAATGGTACAGCTGAAACTTGTACCTATACGATATGGTACAACTCTAATTTGTACCTACACTTGTATACATTGATTCATTATTTACAAGATTGCCATTAATGATGTGGGACCAGTCATTTAGTGAGTTTACCTCCTCAACAGGTCACCTTTTTTATAGCATGGGTGCTATAGAGCACACTAGAAGGGCTCATTTGCGATGCCTTTTAATGATCGTACTTTTACATGGTTTCCTATAAATTTAAACAAAAACAACTATAATTAAAAAAAAGAAGCTACCGGCCGGCCGTAAATAAAACAAATCGAAAACAATTGAGTAAAAGTGTAAAACAAACAAAAGTACAAAAGGTTCCGAGAGGGAGAGACGTCTCTCAACAACTCAAAACCGAATCGATCGTAACCCAAAATAAAAAAAATTCACGAAAAAAATTCATCAATTAAAAAAAAAGCAAAAAAAAAAGTTCGTCGTTATCGCAATCCTTTAGCAACGGATTCCGTCGCCGTCGCCGTGTTCTTTTTCCTGAAGACGATTTCGGTATCCAAACCGAACCCGTCAACCTTGCGGGTGTAAACAACCTCCGACCCTCTAAACATGTTCACGAGCGGGGCCACGCTGAGCAAATCGTTGGCCGAGTACTTATCCGGCCGCCGCGACACCGCCACGTGGAGCGCGCACACCCCTCCGGGCTTCAGCGTGCGCTCGATCTCGCCGACGAACCTGTCCGGGTAGAGCGCGTGGTCGAAGACGTTGGAGAATTCGAAGTCGAAAGTCGCGTCGCCGAACGGCTGCGCGTGGAAGTCCCCCTTCACGACCAACGGCGGCGACGGGACGAGGTCGATCCCGATCGAGTCCGAGACCCCGACCCGCCTCAGCGCCTCCACCTCCTGCCCGACCCGCGCCCCGACGCAGAGGGCCTTGGAGTCGTTGGAGAGGAGGCGCTTGGATTGGAGGGCTCGGAAGAATCGGGAAAAGACGACGACTTTGCGGTCCCAGTCGCGGGTTCTCCAGATGCGGCGGAGCTTCGGGTTCTGGGTCTTGTTGAGCTGCCGCTGGATGTAGGTCTCGTAGGAGGTGTAGCCGGGTCGGATCCGGATTCCCGGCGGCGGTTGAGGGCGGCGGAGGAAGGTGGCGGTGGCGGCGGCGGTGGAGGGGTTCTTCTGGAGGGGAAACAGGAGGAAAAGGAAGAGAGGGAGGGAGAGGAAGAGGGAGGCTAGCATGTATTTCAGAATTGGCGGTTTCGGGTTCATGTTTGGTGATGATCGGATTGTTCTCTCCTTTCTGGTTTGCTATTTGCATGTAGAGAGGGGGATTTTTTTTTTTTTTTCGTTAAATGAGAGAGAGAGATATTTACGTGTTGTGAAATGAATTGAAATCTTTTTGGTTTCTATATTTCCGGCTTTCGATCTCTCTCTAGAGATGGGGTTGTGCTTGCTTCGATCGGTTGGTTGGTTTGTTTGTTTTTTTTTGCTGGCGAGATGGGATTGGAGAAAAGTAGACGGAGGAAACTATAAATTTGGGTATGGCCAAGGGAGGTTAAGAATGGTGGGAAGGAAGGGCAAAACACTTAATGAGGCGATGTTGTATTAATATAAGAGCGTGTTATTTGTCGTCCGTGTATTTACTCTTTATTATTTGTCGTCTGTAAATTAAATTAAAAATACATTTTTGTCCTCCACAATTTTTTTATATTCTATTTTTTGGTTTGGTTTTTTAAACTACCCACACTTATCCTAGCATCACACCACCACCCGACCACCAACCCACTATCACCATAGCCGGAGTCACGGTCACTGGACGGCAGCCTAAGTCGCCGGCCACCGGACGACAGCCGTACCACATCGTCGGACCAACGAATAAGGCAACCTCCTCCTGTAATTATTTTGCCCCGTCTGACGACGGCGAGCGGACCCCGTCCGACCTGATAAAGCGGACGGCGTCCGATCCCGGCGAGCGCACGGCGACCAACGTCGGCTGTTTTTTTTTTATTTTTTTGTATTTTGATATATATTTATGTTATTATTAATTCTAGAGCTAATAATTTAGATTTAGTTTATTGCTTTTATTTTTATTTTACACTGTTAATTTCGTATGTAGTTTGAATTAAACGATTGTGTTTTGTTGTAGCGCTAATTAGTTTATTGTGTTTAGATGTAATTTGTAGAGCTAATTTGGTTTAATAATTTATATTTAATTAAATTTCTTATCGTCAAATTATCATTATTTTGTAGAGTTAACTAAATTATTGCATTTGGTTTAATTTTGTAGAGTCAATTGAAGCACAATTAGTTTAATCAAAGTGATTGTGTTTTGTTGTAGAGCTAATTAGTTTATTGTGTTTAGATTTAATTCGTAGAGCTAATTTGGTTTAATAATTTAATATTTAATTAAATTTTTTATCGTCAAATTATCATTATTTTGTAGAGTTAATTAAATTATTGCATTTAGTTTAATTTTGTAGAGTTACTTGATTTTAGTATTAATTGATTCATTAGTTAGTTTAGTAGTGTTGAATCATATAATCTGTATCTTTCTAACGAGTTGTAAAATCATAATTGCATGTGGACATGGCTTAAATGTTGAACTAAATGGTGATTGCACAGACATTTTTCTCAATGACATCCAATATGACAATTTCGAAGATGTTGTAACAGTGACCAAAAACATCGCGATGTCTCTTGGTTTCTTTCTAATTAAGGGATCGATGAAGCCACGTGAGTTGCGCAACAAAAGAGTATTGGGTATGTGTTATATGTATTGCAACAGATGCAGTAGGGAGAGGAAGTCATACAAGCCGGATCCTTCCAAGGAGAGTCGTGGCAATGCAAGTTCAAAAGGGTCTAATTGCATGTTCAAGGTTAAAATCAAAGAACTACTTGTTGATCCAGATGCTCTTAATGGACCTTCATTCTGGAAGATACAAGAAGTGAGGGAGCAAGAAACCGGTTTAAGGCGAGGGTATCACAATCATGAGAAGATGCTTTATCCGGAGGGCCACAATCAAATGAAGAAATTTAGTCAGGAGGATAAAGAATCTCTGAAGCAGATGAGAGATGCTGGGGTACCTCCGTCGCAACAGAAGCAAACAATAAACATGCAGAAGGGTGAAAAGGGCATCACACCAAAAGCAAATGTATAACCTCGGGTCCAAGTCTAGGAAAGACGAGATGGGCGAGATGAATGCAGTGTGCAGTATGCATTGCAAGTAGTTGAACGTGAGAATTATCATATAGAGGTTATGAAGGACGATAACGACGTGCTTACCCATCTTTTTTTTGCCCATCCAACTTCCATCCAGATAGGGGTGGGCATCGGTTCGGTTCGGTCAAGACTTTGAGATATAGAGATATACCCGGGTGATCTTCATATATATTTGCGGACACTTACATACGAGCATCCACCCAATGCCCAGGAGTACGTGCCCCACGAGGATGAGGCTAAATGTCACCTTCAGGAGTTGGTTGATAATGTTGTACGCAGAGGACCACAGGCAACGAAAAAAAGCAGCAAAGAACGTGTTTTGCGGACGCCACCCACGGAAGACAACATTCACGAGCTAGAAGTGAACAAATTTAGAAGGGGACGACCAAACAAAAAATCAACTAGAAGAACTAAAGGGTTGTTTGATAAGATACTACGTGGTAAGAAGAAAAACATGAAAAAGAAGTCGGGAAGCACAACGTCGGGGGTCTACAAAGTCGACCAAAACCAAGTCCACGGGGACTCAGACAGACAAGTACCTGTCAGACGACCATGCATTTGATGAGTGTGATGATCCTGAAGAAAACAACAAATACAACGGTCCTGATACAAGTACCAATAAGAATTTCATAAGTGTAGTTATTTATATGAATAGTTTATGTAGAATTTGTGTTGATTATCTATTTCCTTCACAGATGTCCCTGGATCCAGCACTCATTCTGAATACGCACAATTGCATCTGCTTCCTGCCCCCAACCAAATCAGGGATGGAGCCAGCCCATGGGAAGGAGGGGCCATAGCCCCCCTAAAATTCTAGATTATTATAAATTTAGAGGTGGCCAAAATTATTCAAGCTTCCTGTTGGCCAACTGGTAAAAGAAAAGTGATTTTTTCCTTGCGTATAATAAATGGCCAGGGATCGATTCCCACCTTTGTTTTCTTTTTCCATGTTTTAAGGGGAATTCCATATACTTTCAGAGTTCAAGCTATGCTATGTCCAATTATTTAGTTTATTTTATATTTTTAAGGTGAATTTCACTAATTTCATGCAATTTCAAGTTTTTATAAGTGAAGGTTTTTCACAAAATTTCAGTTTATTTTACATGTCAAAGGCAAATTTCACGCTTTTCATGTGATTTCAAGTTTTGTATGCCCATTTTCAATTTATTTCACATTTTTAAGTTGAATTTTACGTAAATCGTAATTGAAATTTTATTGTGTTCTTGTTTTGTTCTTACGGTTATAACTTATAATATATTCGAAGTTTCAATTACAAACCCTAAAAATAATATGTTGCATGATAAAAATACTTCAAACGAGATATACAATTATGTTTAGATTGCACATAATTATATGCAGTTTTTATATAAAAATCTTGTATATAATTCGAAAGTGATGTTCTTGTCACAATTTTTTTTTATTGGCCCCTCCTACCAAAAAATCCTGGCTCCCCCTGAACTAAATTGCTATTTGCCGCCAACTAAAAAAAATTGAATTCAAATTTTGAATTTTCTCTTCCTTTCATTCTATAAATTTGAATTCCAATAATATTTGACTCATTCAACAAAAACCTCTGCCGTAGAGCCCAGTGCCTCCGTCGCTGGCACCGTTCTTCCGTCGCCGTCCAACCTCTCGTCGTCCTCAACCGTCAAACAGGTAAGTTTAATTTTCCGACAACTTTTCCAGTTTTCCGGCGACAATGACGGCGGGCCGAAAAAAATTTGCAGCCGGGACACCACCGGGCCGAAAATCTCTTTCGACCCGGCGGCGTCAGGGCCGCAAATTGTTTTTTGGCGGGCCGCCGAATTCTCCGACCGATATTTTTCCGGCGGCGTGTTCGAAGGCCGGGCGCAAAGTTTTTTCGGCTCTGCGGCGCACCGGCCGCATCTATGTTCTTCTCTGTCCAGACCCTCTCAAACTCATTAATCTTTTGAAGAAAACCCTCTTGAGTCCAACTCCATGCAGCTTTGTCGAAATATTTCTTACATACCGTCTGTGCTACCTCTCTTTGTGCAATTCCACCCAGTAATTGCTCAAACTTTTTCTTCACACAGTTGTTGACGTGCCATAAACATACTAGGTGGACAGTATGTGGGAGAGGGAAGACCACAGGAACAGAAGCAAGCATACCACCTTCTTTGTCTGTCACAATGACATTCGGAACCGTATCACCGAGCAACCCTTTAATACATCGCAGTAGCCACTCATATGTTTCCTTTGTTTACTGCTTAATAATTGCACATGCAATGTTGAAATTCTTCTTGACTGGAGTAACCCCAATAATCTCAACCCATGGCCAACCCGTACCTGTTCGTCTTGTAGGTCGAGTCGATGGGGATGACGTACGGCCATGCATGCAACATCCTAATGGACGTCGGGTGGGCAAAAAACAGATTAATGAGCACATTATTAGCGTCCTTTTGCAAACATATTTGGTACCCACGATGTTCAGCTCCGTGAAGCGCAAACTGTATCACATCCATTTCACCCATCTCATCCAATCTTGTCTTGTAATTTCTGTTGTACATCTGTTTGATATCATGATGGACACCCCCTTCAGTATTGAGTGTCGTCTTCTGCTGATTTGATCTAACCCTCGCCTTCCTCAGTAATCTTAACCTCTCTTTTTCAGCCTCACTAAACTGTTTGTTGTGTCGGTGATGTTCTGGATACAACACCTTTTCATGGTTGTGAAACCCTCTATTAGCTCTGGTTACAGTTTACACTACTTGTCACTCCTACTACGACCCATGTGTTTGGACCATTCTCTTGCCATACTTCCTTAATAAATATCTGAAACTGGCAACCAGTACCCTTCGAACTAATATTCCAACGCGTCTCCTTCGTAGGGTCTGGTTTATAAGACTTAACGATCCTACTGTTTCTGTCGCAAAACATATAGAGGGCAGTAACAGGATGTAGTGCTGCAGTATTCGGTTTCCATGCTCCTCTAATAATAAAGAACTCACACTCTTGAGTGATTGCTTTTGCTGCTAACTCAGCTAACTCCACACTTGCATAATAGATCTCATTCTCAAATTCCCGTGTGTAATCATGATTGGCCGGTAACCACTCTGACATTTTTCCTACAATTACAATATAACACATCAATATTCCTGTGAACCTAAACGCTAATTTCAAGTCTTAACCGCTAAATTCAACTCCTAAACTCTAAATTCAACTCGTAAATGCTAAATTCAACTCCTAAACTCTAAATTCTTTACTTACACGCTAAATTCAACTCCTAAACTCTAAATTCAAGTCTTAACGCTAAATTCAACTCCTAACCTCTAAATTCAATTCTTACGCGCTAAATTCAACTCTTAAACGATAAATTCAACTTCTAAACTCTAAATTCAATTCTTATCCGCTAAATTCAACTCCTAAAATTTAATTTTCCGACGATTTCCAACGAACAGACGGCGAGCCAAAATTTTCCGCGCGTTCCGGCCGCCGAAAAATTTCGGCCCGCCGTCTGTTCGTTGGAAATCGTAGGAAAAATTGTTCGAAACTACAAAAAATCGACGCATCTGCTTAGGGATGATTGATGGATGCGTGTCCGCAGTTTACGTCGAGGTTCGGCTTTCCCGAAGATTTTCTGGCGAGTTTTACGGCGAGCGTCGATTTGTTTTTTATTCAATACGTTTTCGGAAAGTTGGATATGTTGTAGATTGTGAAACTCCTTAACCAAAAGATGTACATTTTTTTTTTGTTGGCGGCAAATAGCAAGCCCCTATATTTACCCTATTATTTTCCATAAATTAATAATCAACAACCTTTTTATGCTCGCATTGATTCTAACCAAGATAGTCAAATTATATCGTTTAGAATGTGAATATTGGATGCATATAAATGTACCGTAGTGGTGAACAAGGACTTGGTCTTGTGGTATTACGAGTACTTTTGAACTTAAAGATCCAAGTTTCTCCCCATAAGTAGCACCTTATGATGAAAGCACACCTAACTTTTATCTATAAAAATTATAGGTAATAATTTTCAATCCAACCATTTAAATCCAATCTATTTGATCCAAATTCAATTGGATTGATGGATTCAGTGGATTGATCCATAGATCCAAATGAAAAATTACGATTAGTATCTATATTTTTTATATTTTGGTATCTAATATTTATTTTTTATAATAAAAATGTCATAAAAAATTTACGTTTTGGTAACTAAAAATTTTTATATGACATTTTAGTACCTAAACTTTTCAAGATTTACATTTTGGTCTAAGACTTGGATGTCATTTGGATCCATGGATCAATCTACCAATCCATGAATCCACCAATTTATTTGATCCAATGAATACATCAATAAAATCTGTCAATCCATAGATTCAATCCTTTTGCCACCTCTAATAAAAATATAAATGTAGTATAGTACTACTTAAACAATGAATTTAAAATTATCACACATTAATTAAAATTGAGCATTCTTGTGAATTTTTATGCAGTTGAAATCAATCATGTATTTTTAGTTATTCTGCTATTAATATTGCTAAACCCCTTACCGAAAGGAAAATAGTCTTGCGAAATCCGAATGTCCCGACAGGCTGAGACAAAAACAAATATGGTAATAAATATATACAAGTATGGAAAAAGAACATGCGTTCCCTTTTATTGAGGAAAAAAAATGCACCCCGAAAAAAAGGTTTGATTGGTCCACTTACCACCATTACTATTCATAAAAATGTATAACAAAAAATAAATACAAAATGCCGAGAGTTGCGGGTGAAGCTCCAAAGCCTAACTACGTGTCATAGGAGCTAATCCAAAAGACGTTTATTATTTTTTTTAAGATATGCTAGAGTGGCGGCATAGTATGGACCATTAGTGGTTTTACGTTTTTAGAATTTGGTGTATTTTGGTTATTCTGACATGTTCAAGTCAATTAAGATTTGAGATTGAATTGTTAATTGTACAAGCGATTTTTTCATGCCAGCAAAGAAGTGAAAACCCTAAAGTTTTAGTTTTCGTTGATCATCGAAGTATTTTTTTTATCTCAATATTTGTAGTAAAATGATACATAAAGTATATTACGGTAGAAATCTCCATCAATCTAAGTTAGTCCCAAATACTTTGTAGTTTGTTAATTAATCTTCTTCTTGAGCATGATCATCAAGTGTTGTTGTGGGTTGTTAGATTACAGTAGAGAAGGCAATAACGTTAGACTAACAAGTTATTAAGCTAGACAAATCGTATGTTATTGGCGACATTAATCACTCAATACGTAGATTGCGTATTTTATTTCTAAGTCGTCTATCAATCCATCCATCGCCAGATTATTGCATTGCATCTGTCAGAATAGCATATTAGTAAGAAAAAGTGAAATGGCTCAAACTTTTATTTTCTTCCGGCATAATTATCAACTAAACTATCATCACTATAATTAAGGAGCAATGATTGGGTCATAAATAGTGATGAGTCCGCTTCTCTATAATAACCAATTCCCCTATTTCCCTCGACAGAAAAACAAGTTGCTCTTACACTAAACCCTCCTCCACTCTCTGCTATAAAAACCACTCCATATATCTCTCTTTTCTTCCTCAACACATTCCCTCCAAATACCTCTCATCTCTAAACAAAAAAAATGGCAATTCAGCTCTCCCTTCTTCTTCTCCTCCTCTTAGCACTCCTCCAATTCCCAACCCATATTTTCACCTACCCTGTTTCAGACCCTGATTCAGTTGCAGAAGAAGTAAATTGGTAAGCTCTTCAGTACGTTCCACACATTCTAATTATCCCCATTCACGCTTGTAACAAGTGTATAAAGCACTGTTGTACAAACAATTACAATAGTTTGAACGGTTCCGTCTTTGGATGATAACGAATAAACTAAATATATTTCTACTTTCTGCAACGATAAAAAAAAAAATGGGCTGCGTACGTGTCGATATATCGATTTCGTAACATATTTTTTTAAAAAAAAAACAAATATAAGCTATATTCTGCAACGGTAAAAATGTAACATGCAAGCTTCCTTGCAAACTCAATTTTTCTTTTTTCAGGAGCATAAGAAACGCAACGGCGGATGCGATGGCGGATTCAGGATTCCGCTCGTGCAAAACGGGGAACCCAATCGACGACTGCTGGAAATGCGACCCCTATTGGTACAAGAATCGGAAGCACCTGGCCGACTGCGCGATCGGGTTCGGGAAGCAGGCGACTGGGGGCAAATACGGCAGGTTCTACGTCGTGACCGACCCGAGCGACGACCCGTTCCACCCGAGACCGGGAACCCTGCGCCACGCCGCGATCCAGAAGAGGCCGCTCTGGATCGCGTTCGCGCGCGACATGGTGATCACGCTCAAGCGGGAGCTGCTGGTGAGCTCGCACAAGACGATCGACGGCAGGGGCAGCAACGTGCACATAGCCGGTGGGCCCTGCATCACGATTCGCTACGTGACGAATGTCATCATCCACGGGCTCCACATCCACCACTGCAAGAGCGCGAGGAGCATGTACTCGTCGTCGTCGGGTGATGATGATCCTTCCGATTTCGATAATGATGCGTTGGTCGGGGAGGTGTCGGACGGGGATGGAATCTCCATCTTCGGCTCGAGGCTCGTGTGGGTCGACCACTGCTCGCTGTCCAGCTGCTTCGACGGGTTGATCGACGTGACCTACGGTTCGACCGCGGTCACGCTCTCGAACAACTACATGACGCACCATAACGAGGTGATGTTGTTGGGCCACAACGACGGGTTCACTCGGGATAGAGCCATGCAGGTCACCGTTGCGTTTAATCATTTCGGCGAAGGACTGATCCAAAGGATGCCAAGGTAACGCCGAATTTTCCTCCCTCTTTTATTTAACGATGCAGGTGTTAGTGTGTGGTATATGATCTACGATTGAACGTCTCCCAACAACTCGAGTTATTTTGATCAACTGGTTTCTTGACATGGTATCAGAGTCTTCTCTAACCGAGAGGTCTTGTATTCGAGTCCCGGTGACCCTCATTTGTTAAGCACATGGTATTCGGACTTGTGCAAAACTTCAAGCCCCTGTGAGTGGCTTTCGTTTGAGGGGCGTGGTAGTGTGTGGTATATGATCCATAATTGAACGCTTCCCAACAACTCGAGTTATATGGATCAACTGGTTCTTGACAATAGGATTGAGTCGAATTTAACCGTTGATATTGATGATTATGTGTTCGTGATTGGCTGGCACGTACAGGTGTAGGCATGGGTACTTTCATGTGGTGAACAACGACTACACGCATTGGCTGAAGTATGCAATTGGAGGGAGCGCTGCTCCAACGATCAATAGTCAAGGGAACCGGTTTTTGGCCTCGAACAACAGGTTCACTAAAGAGGTCAGAGTAGGGGGTTTTTTTTTTTTTTGCTGAAGTATGCAATTGGGTGCGACTAGGGGTGGTTATACGGTCCGATCCGGTTAAATTGGTACAAATTGATCCGGTCCAGTCCGGTTTTTTTTGAAAATATAAGAACCAAAAATTGGATTGGATACAGTCCGGTCTTGATCCGGTCCAGTTTTGACCCGGTCTGGTGCCAATTTGATTTTTTTTTTTGCAAGCTCTAAATGAAAGTCTATGAACTTCCTTTATAGCTTAGCTCGATATATAGAGACAAAAAAAATATATTCATTTTTGGGTCGTTTGGGCATGCAGGTGACGAGGCGTGCCAATGCGCCGCAGAGTGAGTGGAGGAAATGGAACTGGAGATCGCAAGGAGACATGTTTCTAAACGGCGCCTTCTTCAGAAGTTCAGGCAGCGGAGCGACTTCCAGCTATGCCAAGGCGACGAGCTTGCCAGCTAAGCCCTCTAATATGGTCGCCTCCATGACCGCCAGTGCTGGCGCCCTGCTCTGCAGGAGAGGTTTAGCATGTTGATTAATTAATTAATGGGAAACAACATGATGGTCGTTTTGGAAGAATGTCCCAGTAAGAGAAGGTGTTGGGTATTAGTCATTAGAACTACTAACTCGATTGGATTTGGTGACGATGAGTTTGCGATGGAAATACACCGGGGGAGAAATGAAAATAGGAAAATAAAGTAGCCTGTCCTTCTCCACTGATATTTGTCTAGAGGAGGGGGCATGAGCTTCGTTTTTAGGGTACCTAGCTAGAAGAGCTTTTATTTTTACGGGTTGTTTGTGCACCGGAACAAATCATGCATGAATAAGATTTTGTACATCCTTTAAGTAATATCAATGCCAAGCTAAGCAATCAGAATTTTTTTATGACCGACCGGAAGTTTACTCATAGCTCGTGCTTCGCGGTGGTAGTAAACTTATTATTTCTCTTTTGATAAAGTTTCATCTCCACTGTCAATCTTACTCAGTTTAGGTTTTCGGTACAAAATAAATGCATATATATAATTAGTTAGGCTACACGTTGAATCCTAACCGGCTTACTTCGTCAACCCTCTCTCAAATTGATGCTGCTTACACAACATCAATTTGTTAGTCAAATAACAGTGATGACTCGAGCCGACTACCTTTGTCAACAAATCTGCAGTTTGATCTTTTCTTGACAGATAGCTAAGATGAATGACTCCCTTTGTAACAAGCTGCAGAATGTCATGTACATGAGTCTCGATATGCTTTGTCTTGTCATGCAGTAATGGATTGGTTGCAAATCCGATGACACTCGTATTATCACCATAAAGCTTCATATGCATTAAAATAGTAACACCTAGATCCCTAAGGAGCCGTTGTAGCCATACTAGTTCTGATATATTCAGCTTCTGTTGAGTATTCCGATACCCGGTCTTGTTTCTTGCAACGCCATGATATAAAAGATTGTCCAAACTTTACGCACTAACTCGATGTCGACCTCTTGGTGTCAACACAGCCGGCAATTTCAGCTTCCGCAAATGCTTCCATTTTTGGCTTGCCTTGCTTCAGAAAGAAGAGTCTAACGTCTTGCATACCTTGTAAGTATCTTAAGATCCTATGAACTGCACCAAGATGCACAGTCTTGGCTATCCTTATGTGTTGGGCAACCACTTGTACGACGTAGTCTATTTCTGGTCGTGTAGAGCTCAAGTACCAAAGACTAACCACGACAGTATGATAAATTGTCTAGTGCACAAGGTTTGCAACCATCAAAAATGTTCTTCAGTCAACAAATCACGAACATACTTATTTTGTTCAACAAAAATGCCATGTACAGTACGCTCGATCTCCATCCCAAGGAAATAGTAGACATCTCCAAGTACTTTCAGTTTAAAGGTTTGATGCAAGGATTCAGACAACTCTCTTATTCCTGGTCGATTACTACAAGAAATTATCATATCATCAACGTACAATAAAAGTATTGTAATACCTTAGACTGTAGTTCTTAGAAAGAGTGATGGATCATTCTAACTTTGCACGAAACCCGCTTGAATGACTACACCATGAAAGCTCTCATACCACAATATAGGAGCTTGTTTGACACCATACAATGATCTCTTCAGACAACAAGCAATGTTCAGACCTCCTTTAGAATACCCAGCTGGACAAGCCATATAAATAGACTCCTTAAAATCACCATGTAGAAAAGCCTTTTTCATGTCTAGCTGCACTAAGGTATATTTATACACTTTTTACCCCTTTTTCCTTAGATGTTTGAAGTACTTTCACTCTGTGAGGTTCAATTTTACGCTAGGCTGTGGTTGTCATTAGTATGTCTCGGATCCTAGCAGGTGAAATCCTGTGATGTGTTGCAGATGTTTGAGGTACTTTCACTCCGTGAGGTTCGGTACCGCGCATAGCTCAAGACGACCAAAGGCCTGTGACATCCCGTGATGTGTTGGAGAAGATCAATCTTGGCACCAAGTACTTCCCACGTCCTACTTTGATTAGTACCATGCTCCCCGAAGCCGAGAGGCTATAATCAGATCCACTTAGTTGAGGATGACATCCACAAGACTGCATTCAGGTGTCTGGAAGCCATAGGGTTCTATGAGTGGCTCGTCATGCCCTTTGGTTTGAATAATGATGGTGTCACTTACCAACGATCCATTAATGCTATATTTCATGACTTGATTGATGAGGTGGTTGAGGTTTATGTGGATGACATTGTTGTCAAGTCTAAGGTGACTTTTTAGGCTTCCTTGTGAGCCACCGTGACATTGAGGATGATAAGAGTAAGACCAAGGCCATCATTTAGGCCATGCCACCAAGTAATAAGAAAGAGCTTAAGAGGTTCCTTGGCCAAGTTAACTACATTCGACATTTCATCTCGAATTGTGTTGGCTCAACCCAAGTCTTCTTTTCATTGTTGAAGCTGAAGCAAGAAGATGAATTCGTATGGCGTTAAGAGCATCAACCAGTCTTTGATGACATCAAGAAGTACCTGGCAACCCCGCCGGTACTGGCATAAAAATGGCCATTACGGAATTAATTGACCGGATCGAGGCCCGTCTGGCAGGTTGGTCAGCATCATCCATGTCGATGGCCGCGCGTTTGAGGTACTTTCATTTAATTGAAATCTTGTGATGTGTTGCAGATGTTTGAGGTACTTTCACTCCGTTAGGTTCGGTACCGGGTATCAATGCAGTCAAAATCACGCTTTAAAACTTAAAAACTTACGATTTTATGCTTCTAGGTCACCAAAACGCATTCGTTTCCATATAAAAACATAGGTGTATAAAATCGGACTAAATTGCGCTTTAAAGCTTAAAAACTCACGTTTTTACGCTTATAGTTCACCAAAACGCTTTACGCTTTTAGTTCACTAAATGAGTATTATTTTCATGAAATTAATTATAAAAATTATATTTTAAAGGTAAATCACCAACCATATGATACATTTGATATTAAAGGATGCATACTAGGTACTTGGATGCATTCTCAGCTTCAATAAAGTAATCTAATTACCCCTTTTTCGCTTCTAGGTAGAATCGCACTTTTGACTGCATTGTCGGGTATAGCTGAAGACGACCAGAGGCCTGTGACATCTCGTGATGGGTTGGAGGAGATCAATCTTGGCACCAAGGACTTCCCACGTCCTACTTTCATTAGTACCATGCTCCCTAAAGCCGAGAGGCTATAATCAGATCCACTTAGCTGAGGAGGACATCCACAAGAATGCATTCAGGTGTCTGGGAGCCATAAGGTTCTATGAGTGGCTCGTCATGCCCTTTGGTTTGAAGAATGATGATGTCACTTACCAATGATCCATGAATGCTATATTTCATGACTTGATTGGTGAGGTGGTTGAGGTTTATGTGGATGACATTGTTGTCAGATCTAAGGTGACTTTTTAGGCTTCCTTGTGAGCCAGCGTGACATTGAGGATGATAAGAGTAAGACCAAGGCCATAATTTAGGCCATGCCACCAAGTAATAAGAAAGAGGTTAAGAGGTTCCTTTGCCAAGTTAACTACATTCGGCGTTTCATCCCGAACTGTGCTGGCCAAACCCAAGTCTTCTCTTCATTATTGAAGCTGAAGCAAGAAGATGAATTCGTATGCCGTCAAGAGCATCAACAAGTCTTTAATGACATCAAGAAGTACCTGGCAACCCCGCCGGTACTGGCATAAAAATGACCTTTACGAAATTTATTGACCGAATCGACGCCCGTCTGGCAGGTTGGTCTCAGCATCATCCATGTCGATGGCCGCGAGTATTAATCTAGCGCAGTTTGTTCTGTCGGCACTACCAGCCTATACAATGCAAATGACCTTCTTACCGGCAAGCGGCAGAGATTTCATTGATAAGAAGATCTGCCCTTTTATATGTGGGAGCTCGGAACAGGGGCGTAAAATCTATTTGGTATACTGGGAGACGATCTGGAGACCGAGGAAGTAGGGCGACCTATGAGTTAGGGGTGCTACACGAACAAATGAGGCTTACATGTTGAAGATATTATGGCGGCTTCTTACGAAGCCGAACGATCTTTGGGCGCGCGTCATGCTAGCGAAGTACTGCTCTTAGACCGAGGAGGGATTGTAACTCAAAACCAGCGGGCGAATATCTAACCTATGGCATGGTGTTCTGCGAGTCAGACATTTGGTTGATGATGCTACTGCTTGGAACATCTAGAACGGATGGGTGGCTAGATTCTGGAGCGCCCGATGGGTGGACGATTCGACCGTTCTCCGGGATCATGCCCCTAACCTCCCCCAGATATGGAGGTTATGATTGTGGCAGAATTCGTTATAAATGGTGAGTGGAACGAGGCTTTTTTACGTGCTTACTTACCGGAGGAATTTGTTTCGCAGGTACGGCTACACCCGGTGCCCACGAAAATCGCGTCTGATGTCCGAGTGTGGTGACTCTCACCAAATGGAGCTTTTTCTCTCCGAACAGCGTACGAGCTCACAGATACGGTGGACGACCTGATCCTAAACCAACCCATTTGGAAGACTCGACGATGCAACGGGTGCGCACATTTCGTTGGCTTCTCAACCATGATCATCTGCTAACAAACGCAGAAAGAGGATGAAAACACCTGACCACCGATACGAGTTGCAAGATATGCGGTGGGGGCCCTGAGACTACTATTCATGTTGTTCGGAACTGTCCATTTGTGAGAGCTACTTGGGGGGCTCCTTGAAGACGTACCAAACACCACGTTCTTCGAACCTGACATTCATCGGTAGTCTCTGCACTACTTATCAGGGCGCAGTAATATCATTGATAGCACTTTTTTGAAGACAATTGCTCGCTTATGTGGAAGAACTGGAATGATCACCTCTTCCGGAGCGAGCTGAAAATCCATGAGCAAATCCAGTTCATCACCAAACAGCTAAGACAACAGATCAACATAGTCTTTGAACAAGAGAATACCATCTTTGAAGCTAGGGGACTCCAAGAGTGGCGGGACATTAACTGGCATCCACCGCAGAGTGGTTGGGCCTGTATTAACACAGATGGCTCAGTCTCTAATTCTTCTGCGAGCACGACCTGTGGCGGCATCGTGAGGGAGACGATGGGCGCTATATCGGAGCTTTCACAGCGAACTTGGGAGGGGCTCGATTACTCGTGCGGAGCTGACTGGGATTGTTTATGGGTTGAGGCTGGCTTGGGAGGAGGGGGTCGGGAAGGTTATTCTACAGACAGACTCCTGCACTGCGAAGACCCTGATCGAGAATGCTACACCACAACATCCACATTACACCTATGTAGCAGAGATCTGCCATTGGCTAGCTCGACCATGGCTTGTCAAAATAGAGCATGTTTACACGGAAGCGAACTTTGTGGCTGATCACCTCGCTTCCATTTGTCACTCTTTACCTATCAGGGTTCACGGGATTCATGACCCGAGTAGTACTTTACGCTATTGGTTGTATTTTGACATTGCGGGGATTCAAACAGCTCGTCCTATTGGTTGTATTTTGACATTGCGGGGATTCAAACAGCTCGTCCTATTGGTTTACAATAAAGGTTAGGACGCCCTTAGCGCCTGTTCACACACAAAAAAACTTTACAAAAACTAAATTAAACAGAATGCTTCAGAATGGGTTGATCTTTCTTTGGATCTTTAATTCCAGAAGGAGTTGCCATGGATGAGGATTTCACTCAACATTGCCAACTCTCCCATGGATAGATTTTCAGCACATTTTGTTAGTGATACAAAATGTTCAAAGGTGTGGTAGTAGGAATGACAGAATCGTGATAAGTCATAATTAAATTGCGAGCAAACCTATGTCAATTGAGCTTCTAGCCTTCTACTATAGGTTAGACTGATTAAAACAGCCAAAATATGATACACTATTACAAACGCATGCCGGTCATAAACTCATTAAGCTTTGAAATTTTCATAACCGATTATGAAACTATCAGTCAAACCAATGGCGCAATGAAATAACTCGACGACATCAATTGATTGACGGCACAGAAAATATACTTCAATGGACAAGGCAAGTCACGGACCACAACTACATAACAACAAAGAAACAAAATTCAGCGCCATGCCAGCTCCTCAACTACATAAACTAACGACTGATGCCAACATACATGTTACAACCAGTAAAAGCCAAAGCTGAGAGTCGCAAAAAAAAAACTCTCCCACCAAGTGAACCACATTGTAATCAAGGCTAAATAAGAACATGCATTTCGGAACTAGGATACCACGGGAAAAAAGCAAAACATGGTGAACTAGAACTCAGCAGCAGAGATGACGTCATCAATCTTCAGTATCATCTTGACTACTTGCGTTGCAAGCAAGACCTGTTGCTGCTTCCCTATCAGTGTCTCGAACACGTTCTGCTCACGCATATCCGTCGTGCCCACGTCGTTGCAGTCAATTCCACAGTGGGGATTGTTCTCCTGCATCCCCCATATCAAAGGAACATTAACATCACAGCAATTATATTAATGTTAGGAGGTGATGGATGGCAGAAGCTATGGGAAGTGTTTATCAAGTTACCTTGATTTGCTGGGACTTCACAGCAGATAGAGTCTCAATGGGTTGAAGCCCACTGTTTTCTGCTAGTGCCATAGGGATAGCATCCAAAGCATCTGCGAATGCTCGAATGGCATACTGAAGCAAAAAAAAAACTTAAAGCTATTAGTATATGGAGATAAAACCAGGAAAAGAAAAAGGTTCTGTGAAGGGAGGATATGAAAAACCAACCTGCTCAACTCCAGGATATCTGTCCGCAGCAGCTTCTACAGCAATTGAGCAAGCGATTTCAGCAGAACCACCGCCGTACACGATGGAGTTGTTGCGGATGAGATTCCTAGCAACACACAGGGCATCATGGATGCTTCGCTTGGTCTCTTCTATCATCATCTTGTTACCTGGTTGAGCATCAAGTAGGAGGATCTCTGTAATCAGTATGGCTGAGAAGAATGATAAACAAAGGAATGACAGAAGCCAAAAATATATTGACCTCCACGAATGAAAATAGTAACAGCTCTGGAATTTGCACAATGTTCAATGTACAGCATTCTATCTTTTGTGGTACCAAAAGACTTCTCCCTAACCAAACCAGCCTGCAGAATCGATGAAGAAAGTGTGAAAGAAATCTAAGAGAACAAACGCATAATTAAATTTTTCAGATTTGAACAATTCACAGCAGGAATTTCCCAAGAGAAGACATACCTTCCCTAGCTTCTCAGCTGTCAACTCCTGGAATCTTGGAACTATCCTGCCACCTATAGACGAAGAAAACATGTTTTGTCAAAAGCAACGTACATCACACAAAAACAATGGAAAAGCTTGTGAAGAATTCTGAACAAACACTCAACCTGTGGCAATTGCTATCAGCTCTAGCTCTACTCCACCAACCCAACGTACTGCGGGAAGGTTTCTGTGCATCAACAAATGGTTCGCCTCATCATCAAATCCCCACTGGCAGATAACCAGAGTTGCACCAACATCCTGTCACATCAATTTCAAGAAAGAAAGTTTATACATTCTAGATAAGATGAGCAATTCCCTCAACCACTGCTAAGATACATGATGCTTCACAATGGACAAACAATCATACCTTGCACTTTTGAACCATGTCATCAAAATACTGCTGCTCTTGCTTACGCAAAGTCTCAAACTTCTCTACTGTGTCGATGTCCACCTTGTGCTTGGTCTTTGGCTTCGGGGGTTCGAAGGGACATGTCAAAATAGCAATGTTTGCATCTTGAATTTGCTTAGGCATCTGCGGGTGACTCATGTCCTTGTCAACAACTATCCCATATATTAGTTCAGTATCTTCCAACTTCCCGCCAACTTTCCCATCAACTTTTATCAAGTCCAAGTTCACATCTTTTCTCTCTAAATCGGCCACAGCAAGGACTGCTTTGACTGAGATCTCAGCCAACTTACGCTTGCATCTGTTCACACTACAAAATAAAGACACGAATATTTAACCAAAGAACCTCACATTTAAATGATTCCTGCCTTTTCAAAATCTCTACTAGTCCTATACAAACACCTATGATAGCAAGAAGGGAGTAGTAGAAGACAGAATCAACTATGCCAAGGTACTTACATCTTTGAAGACAAAGTAGTCATGCAAGTCTGGACAAGCGATTCTATGTTATTCTCTCCAAATTCAAACTTATGAGCAATACGCTCCAAATGCTCAACGGCTATTCTCGACGCCAACTCATAGCCCTCTGCAATTCGAATGGGATGAATCCCACGTTCTAGCAACTTCTCAGCTTGCTCTAGAAGACTTCCAGCCATGACTACGACACCTGTGGTGCCATCACCGATCTCATAGTCCTGACTCCTAGATAGCTCCACCATCAGCTTGGCGATTTGATTGTCTACATCCATCTGCTCCAAGATCGTTGCCCCATCATTGGCTGGAAACAGAATAAGCAAATAGACTCTGTCAAGCAAAATAAAAGTGTGCAGGCGGCAAAAGAAATCACATCACATCAAATCAACTTCCATTCTCAAGCTATAAATTCACTGAGGTAGATTCTGGCTAGATCAAATCATTCAGGTCTCGGTTTTTATTTGCACTCCAAAAATAAGCTTCCAGTTCTTACTCTACTCCAACAGTCTTAAGTTACGAACAACGATCCACAGAGATCCATGAACGAACCTTAAACCCTAGCTGCTAGTCGAATAGAAGTATGAATTCACCACGAAACACAGACACACACAAACACACGAGCTACGACCATCAAATCAGCAGATCGAAAGCCATAAAATCGAAATCCAAGACCCGTGCAATCTAACTCGATCGCGGAACTAGAAAGAGAGAAGAATGAGCGAGGAAAAGGATACTCACTAATGGTAACGTCGCCGTCTGGGCTGGAGAGCATCTTGTCCATCCCCTTGGGACCGAGCGAAGTCCGGAGGATACGAGCGACGGACCTTCCGGCGGAAATGTTGGCCTTCTGAGCATCGAGACCCCGCAATCGAGTCTTCTGCTCCTGCTCCTTGATTATGATGAACGGCCGCCCGTATTCGTCGAAAGCTAGCGCCATTTTTTCGGCACCGCTTCTTTCTTCCCGGTTTCAAACTCCGCTTCAACGGAGACGACGGAGCTGTGAAGGGTGGATTTGGAGAGGAAGTGAATAAACCAGTGTGAATGGCAGTAGAAGCTTCCCTCCTTTCTCCCTGTCCCTCCGCCATTTTGAAGCCCTAACCCGCCCTCGGTTCCTGGGTCGGGCTTGAGGATCCGAAAAGTTGCTTAATGGACTAGCGAGCCCAATTGTTGCTATAATAATATATTTTTTTTATAGGAAACCTGGATACTTGTATTAAGGATATTAGTATCGGCCCAAATAGCCCTGGCCCAAATCAGCCTCTAACAAAGAACGGAGCAACAAAGGGGGGTTATCAACCCAGACAATCTGTTGGTTCCAACCCAAACCAGTATGAGCCAACCAGTGAGCAATAGTGTTATTCTTCCTCGAAGCAAAACACCATCGAACTTCAACCCCCACCAGAGATTCATTAGCCCTAGCCAACTTTCTCAGCTCGTCACACCAAACCCCAAGCTCAGTGAAATCTTCACTTTCATTCTTCAACTTATTCACAAGCACCTGGCAGTCCGATTCAACAATCAGGGGACCGATTTCCCTACGATTGGCCTCCTTTAAGCCCAGAATCAGGGCTTTCGCCTCTCCTTCGATCGGGCGAAAAACACCCCATTCCTTCTTCGCCAAAGCCCTCACGAATTCACCCCTGCAATCTCGTATAATACAGCCCATACCCACGCCTTGGTTCTGGATAATTCCTGCATCAGCGTTTAATTTATAGGAGCCGTCCGGAGGAGGGATCCAGTGGTGCGAAGCATGGGATCGATGCCGAGGAGTACTAGCCAAAGAGCAAGAATTAGGAGAGGTATTAGCCGCCTGAAAAGAAGATATCCAGGCCAGCGCTTTCGGAATAATCTCATCCTCCTCCAGCTTTCGGTTATTAAACTTATGATTGCATCTCTCTTTCCAGAGGTACCACAAGATCGAGCAGAATTTCTGAATTCTTTCTTCTGGGTAGTTTTTGAGAATTTCCTTGATCCATTCAAAATCTGACTTCCCTTCACCTTTCTCGAACAGGTCGGATTCATCACATTCCCTCCATCTTCTACGAATCCAGTCACAGCTAATCAGAGCATGGGATTGTGTCTCAGGGAGGTTACAGAAAGGGCAATTAGGGTCGGCTTTCTCGATCCATTCTTCCACATGAACTCCAACAGGTAAGATGTTCTTGCATACCTTCCATAAGAAAACACGAACCTTAGGTTGGATATGAAGCATCCATAGAGCCCTCCAAGCCTCTGCATCCTCTGTGTTTTGAGACAGTTTCCGCATTTGATAATGAGATTGTTGTTCTCTAATAAAGTAGTAACCAGATTTGACAGAGTAGGCTCCATTTTCTGAGTGTTTCCAAACTCTCGACTCAGATCCAAGAGGAAAGCTTAGAGGAATCCTTGCTATAAGATTCTGATCCTCTCTAGAGAACAGCAACCTCAATTTATCCATCCTCCACGTCCCTGTCTCCGAATCAATGATAGAGCTGACTTTATCCTCTAGCATTTCCCCAAAGGGAATCGGATCAGCTTGATAAAAGCTTTTTCCAGGAATCCATTCATCTTTCCACATACTTATCGAGCTCCCATTACCCACTCTCCATCTAAAGCCTTCCACAATTTTCTCTTTGGCTTCCACAATACTCTTCCATATATAACTAGGTTGATAGCCCTCCTTAGCTTGAAGTACATCAGATTTAGGAAAATAGCGAGCTTTGAGAACTTTTGCCATAAGCGAGTGAGGTCTAGTAAGCAGATTCCAAACCTGTTCTCCCAGCATTGCATAGTTGAATGATCTAAGATCTCTGAACCCCAAACCTCCTTCCAACTTTCCATCACACAATTCATCCCACTCAATTCCGTGTATTTTTGACTCCTTTCCTTTCTGCCCCCACCCGAAATTCGAAATAAGGCTTTGGATTTCTTTGAGAGTGCCCTCTAGTATTTTAAAGACTGACATAGGATAAAGGCATTGAGCTTGAGTGATAGACTTAATCAGAACCTCTTTACCTGCTTGAGATAGGGTCCTGCTCTTCCAGTCCTTTAACTTTTTCCTCACCCTTTTTTTAACTTCCTCAAAGATGATCTTCTTTGATCTTCCCACCACAGTTGGAAGTCCAAGATATTTCTGATGTTTACTTACTTCCTTGATTCCCAGAGTGCCACAAATCTCCAATCTTCTGCTTATTCGAACGTTCTTACTGAAGGAGAGCTCAGATTTTGAATAATTAATGAGCTGACCAGATTCCATAGCATAAGTGTTTAGGATGTCCTTAAGTTCATCACACTCTCTGAGACTGGTCTTACCAAAATCACACAGTCATCCGCGAAAAGAAGATGTGAAATAATGGGAGCTTTTCTTCGTATTTGAATCCCACTCAATTTTCCTTCAGATTCAGCCCTCTTGATCAGGGCAGATAGACCCTCAGCACATAGCAAAAATAGATATGGGGAAAAGGGATCACCTTGTCTCAATCCTCGTGAAGGAGTAAAAATATCTGTTTTGTGGCCATTGACAAGGATAGAATAGGTAACCGATGATACACATTTCATAGTAAGGTCAACCCATCTGTCATCAAAACCCATTTTCTTCATAACCCCTTTCAAAAAATCCCACTCCACACGGTCATAGGCTTTGGCCATATCCAGCTTCGCCGCAAAGTATCCCTCCTTAGCTCTTTCCCTTTTCTTCATGAATTGGAAACATTCAAAAGCAACAATAACGTTATCAGTGATAAATCTTCCAGGGACAAATGCACTCTGTTCTTCTGAAATAAGATCATCCAGAATCAATCTAAGTCTGTTTGCCATCACTTTTGATATGATTTTGTAAGTCACACGACACAGACTGATAGGTTTGAAGTCTTTAGGAGTGTTGGGAGCTTTCACCTTAGGGATCAGAGCAATGAGTGTGTGGTTTAGCTCTTGGGGGAGAACACCATTGTTGAAAAAATTCAAAGCAGTCCAATTTTTCTGAAAAAACCCTGCAGAGAAACCATCAGATCCAGGGGCTTTACAAGGCCCCATTTGACTGAGAGCAGCCCTTATTTCCTCCTCACAGACAGGTTTAAGTAGAGAAGCATTCATAGTAGGAGTAACCTTTCTTTTCAAAACATTAATCACAGACATAGAGTTTGGGGTCATACCTCTCCTGAAAAGAGATTTAAAATAATCAATTAAGCAAGCCGAGACCTCTCTTTGGCCTTTGAAAATCCTGCCACTGTCATCCTTTAACACCTTAATGGTATTTATTTTACGTCTGGCAGAAGCCTTAGCATGGAAGAATTTGGTGTTTTTGTCTCCTCCTTTCATCCAGTCCAGCCTAGAACGTTGTTTCCACAGTTCTTCCTCTTGCTATAACAGTGCACTTCTCTCAGATTCCAGGTCCTTTCTTTGTTCCAGGATTAATTCAGTCTTAGGCTTGTACTTGAAGGAGCTCAGTTTCTTTTCAATTTTCTCGATTTTCTTCCTTATGTCTCCAAATTTCCTCCTGCTCCAAGCCAAAAGCTCTGATCTGCAGATAGAGAGGATTGTTAAGAGGCTCTCATTAGCATTTTCATTGTAGATCCTATTGATTATAGCAGCACTTTCAGGATCCTTCAGCCAAAAAGGTTCCACTGTAAAATACCATCCCCATTTGATCTCTTCCTCCTCTCTCCCAGCTGTGTATAGTAAAATAGGACAGTGGTAAGACCCACAACGCTCCAGATGAACAACCTGATGTTCAGGGAAAGATGATTTCCATTCCCAACTTGCAACACATCGATCCAATCTCTCCTCTATGAACCCTTCATTTGCTCTGCTGTTTTCCCACGTGAAAGGGTAGCCAGTGAAACCACAATCAAGAAGTCCGCAATATTCAAGGGCTTCTCTAAACTCCATAGCATGATTTTCATTAATAAGTCTTCCTCCCCTTTTTTCTTCTCCTGATAATATTTGGTTGAAGTCACCAATGCACACCCACGGTAGAGAACATCCATTCTTAAGATCCCTTAGCAAATCCCAGGACTTGAATCTCTCTTCACTATCAGCCCAGCCGTAGAAACCAGTCATTCTCCAGCTTGCCCATCCATCACCCTGGTCTATTAAAACATCAATATGATGAAGAGACGATGAAACTTTCACAACAGAGACCTCATCATTCCAAAACAGACATAAGCCACCAGCCTTCCACCCTTTGTCATTTCTCGCAGCCTCTCCACAACCACCAGAATATCCCAATTTCCTTTGAATTTCCTTCCACCCATTCTCATCCTTTCTCGTTTCCATCAAAAAAACAATGTCAGGTTGTTGCTTTTTGAGCAGTCTTTTTAGTTTTGCAACTGCCGAGGAGCTGCCCAGTCCTCGACAGTTGTAGCTTAGGATTTTCATTGGGCTAGGCGGCCTTGCTCCTCGGCAAGGGCCGCCAAATCGCCATCCAATTCAGAGTTTGAGAAAGGTTTCTGACGCTTTTCACCCAAGGAAGCCTCATCAATATCCATATCATCAGGGTTTCTTCTTTTTCCCATTTCCATTCTCCTTTGATCCCCTTGATCAGCCTCCTGTCCTTTCCTTACCATTCTTTGCCACTTCTTTCCACTTTTACTGACGTGAACGCTACTGTTTCCTGCCTCACCTGATTTGATGTCAGCTATATTGCCTACTCCTTCTGTTTCTGCCTTCTTATATTTGAGAAGATCTTCAAACTGCTCTTTCTCAGGATTGAGTTGTGGTTCTCTATCTTCCGATCCTTTCTTCTCTTTCATAGACTTTCCTGCCTCAGGCTCGTGAGCACTAGTTATCATCAATCCTTTCGAGAGTTCAACTGCTTGCTTTTCCACTTCCCTTTCCACTATAGCCTTCTTCTGATTTACTATTTTTCCTTCTTGAACTTCCGCCCACAGTTTTGAGAGTAAATGGGATTTCTCCTTTTCTTTCATCGAAAGCTTTCTTAGGGGTGAATCCGCCCTTAGCCAGGATCCATAAGATTCTTCTCTATTCTCCCCCTCTTTCTCCTAGGATTGAAGGGAACAGGACTTGTTAAGGTGTCCCATAATACCACATTTGAAGCAGTAAATTGGCATTCTTTCATATCCAACCCTGTATGACACAGGGCCATTCTTACTTTGTAGTTTTACCACTCTTCTTA